TGATCGTCTTGGGAAATCCTCTTTTACTGTCCCTGCCGATCTTTCTATCTCTTTCTTCTCTTTTACCTAGGTATTTTACATGTGCTCTTTATACTCTGTACTAGTTATGCTGTTATGGCTGATCTAAGATGCTGGCACCTCACGACGCGAATTCTCGACGTAGAGTTGATCAGAAAGAATATGGATATCTTCGTGCGCGCAATGTGTGAGCCACAGCTTGTCACCAGGCATGGGTTTAATCCCAGCCATTACCCCCAGATTATGAAAGAATGGGCCCAGTTCTTTTCCGGTTTAGCACGAACATGCCACCTAAACTCTTTGGGATTTCGTGCCATGGGTGATAGTCACCAGGTAATATACCGCGTGACTTTCGCGGTGCAGACCCACCGAACGACCCGTACGTTGACAATGCGATCGACAAGTAAACAGCAAAGTACACAAAACTGAGGTAGAAGGGGTTTGAGCCAAGGTCGCAACCCTCGATACCCACACATACAATGTCCCGACGACCCCAGGCTACTTTCAAACTCAGGAACGTCTTTCTTCCGACCGAACTCATCTTGAACATTGCAGATTATTCTGAACATCACAAGGACATCCAAACTCTGCTTTCCGTGTTTCCGCATTGGCTCCCAATGATCCCGGGCAGTTACTGGAGACGTCGATTCATTGATAATAACCATCTAAACAATGATTAGTTCCCACCAGGAGATGCTCTGGATTGACAGCATGTTTATCTTAATACTGACCAGCTACTACGAACCTCCATAGGATGGCGAAACAGGAAGCGTATCTTGAGTCAACTCCAGGGGGTGAAAGACCGATTCTTGCGCAACTCGAGCGGAAGGGTGTGCAATGGTGAAGCATCCTCGAATGACTTGATTGCAGGCGGAGACATGGGTCTGTCGTGAAGTGGGATATGACAGTGGACAGAAGTTGGTGCTCGACCGCAGAGACGGTGATGGGGTCGTTGCTCTAGCAAGCTCGCAAAAGTTTGTGATGGTTAGTAAGAAACACGGCCACTTGTATCTGCTGGATCTAGTGACAATCATCGTACCCGCCTCATGGACTTCGCATCTGAAATCTGGAAGGTTGGGATCCTGGATGACTCTTGGGTTATTGCTGCATACAAGTGGGACCGCCAGGCGCTTGACCGTCTGGCACATGTGATGTTGCATTTCGATGGCATAAATGGGCCTGAATAGGGTTTAATGAGGGATACAACGGGGGTCGGAGGGATGGTGGGGTTGATCAGGGAGGGGGATCTGATGGGAAAGTAACAGGAAAGTGAGGGTTGACTGAGCGTCGACAGAACGCCTTCAACAGGGGCTCTGCTTCATTCTTCCATTCCCTACTTTGATTGATTAGGGCCAATTGAACGACCCGTCGTGTACTTTGTGTCTACTTTGTACTTCGTGCCTTGACAACAAGCTTGAAATGGCACGATAGCAGCCCATAGTCCATGCCACGCCTAAGGTAATGTGGTGTACGAAGTAGTCTATAAGCGTGCTTCTGTTGTGGCGCAGTACATACAGGTTCCCATATCCCCCCCCCCCCAACAAGCTGTCGTGGTTCTCTGTGTGTCGTACAGCTGTCAGCCTCTGATTCGGAGATGAAAGCGCCTGCTAGCTTTTTGACGAGCTCTCCGTCATCAACTGAATCCCCCAGCTCAACTGCCGCAGCCTCCGCATTGTGGCGTGTTAATCGCTGTACGGGGCACTCTAGCTGCTAATGAATATCTTTGTCGTATTTCGTATTCTTTTACCCACGTCGTATAGAATCATTATAGGTAGGATGTTTTAATATAGCGACGAGTACCGTCCCTCACCTTTATGCACTAAGCTAATGTCATCAAAAACGCCTCAATCCATACAGAACACGACAGTACATCAACGTATGCAAAATTCAGTATGTGCTTGAATCAAGAACCCTAACGTTATGTTAAGTCAACTATGTTCAGTCTAGGCCAATAAAACCAATCCTCACTCGGACGAGCGTCGGCTGTCTACCTAGGAGCCCTATCTGCTACTCGTAGTCGCCTGGGTTATCTTAAGACTAATCTAAGCCTAGAATAATCATATTAGGACGGATTTAGCATGAAGAGCTACATACATACATGTATGCAGTTATGCTGTAGGTACATATGCAGTCTATTTGAGCTTCAAAAAGAGGTGGATCTGGCTTTGTTGCCTGCTGGCCAATGGGATCATTCTAAATTGCTTATGTAATTGTTGTAATTGCACCTGGGGACCTCCAATGGGTGAGATCGCGTCTCTGAGCGTCTACCCTTCAGCCAACTTCCATTCCTTTGTTTATCACTTAGTATGATATTTGGTCTGCTTTGAATATCAAACATCTGATCATCATCACAATCGCTTCTGCTCCTACCCTCTATCCCTTTCACCAATTGCAGCCTACCCATCCTCGATCGCAAGATGGCCACCGACTACAGCAAGAAGACCAACGCCGAGTTGGTCGAGATCCTTAAGACTCGCTCTCTCCCCCACACCGGAAAGAAGGCCGAAATGGTCTCGCGCCTCCAGGAAGACGACGAGAGCAAGCCATCTGACGCTCCTGCCGCAGCTCCTGCCGCAGCCAAGACTGACGCCCCCGAGGACGTCATTGACTGGGATGACGAACCCGCCGAGACAATTATCGAGCCATCCACGCAAGCTGGCGCAGCTGCGATTGCGGCTGGTGGCCAGGGCGCAGTTTCCAACCCCGTCGCTGTCCCCAACCAGAAGCTCGACGAGAACCCCGCCACCACCGAGGACTTGAAGGTCGAGGCGACCGGCGCCATCGTTGAACCCACCACTCAACCGGAAGCCGCGACTGAACAGAAGCCCGCCGTCGATTACACACGAGGACTGCCCCAGACAGATCTGGAGGCGGAGCTGGCGAAGCGCAAGGCTCGCGCGCAGAAGTTCGGTATTGTTGAAGATGATGACACAGCATTGAAGGAGGCTACTAAGCAGTTGGAACGCGCTAAGCGGTTCGGTACTGGTGCCGAGGGTGAGACTACTTCTGCTGCGGGTGTAAGTCGTCTTGACCAGGCACTTCCTGATGAGCGCTCCCGCAAGAGACGTAATGACAGCCGCAACGACCAGGGTGGTCGTGGAGGAAAGAGACGTGATAATGGACGCAACCGCAACCGTCAACGTGGGGATGGAAACCGCAACCGCGACCGCGGTGATGGGAACAAGACCAATGCTGGCGTGAAGAAGCCTAATGCCGGTGGGAACAATGCCCAGAAGACTTGGAGTGAGAAGGATCATGCGGCCATGGAGGCTCGTAAGAAGCGGTTTGCAGCAGCTGCTTGAATGTTTCCAATAGTTTGCTCCGTCTGGTCTATGACTTGGTCTTCGGTTCCGTCTCTTGTTCTTTCATCATGGGCGTTTGTGTGTTGATATGCTACCGGGCAATTTTAGGGTCAATCATTCCATTCGATTTGTTTTAATATATGTGGATCTCAATGAAAATGTACAAGTGGAATTCATATTTTGTAGAGTGAAGCAGCCCTTTCCGTATGTTCATGTAGGCAATACAAGGTCGGGAGTAATGTAATGCCCAGTTGCCAGGTGATGTCGGAAACCTCAACTTCTCCATTTCCCATACCCAAGCACAGACCTACTGAGCTAAAACTCAATCTTAAGTTTCCTCGCGGCCCCCAGAAAGAATTCCCCGGCTGCGTGCGAAGTCAGCTGAAAAGTGCATTAGTCGCTTGTTCCTCAGGGCGTCGACCAATACGGCCAGTCACTAGGTGAGGACAGACCAGATTGTGTGCGGAACCTCGAGCTCTTCCTTTGATATGAGAGTTCGAGAGTACTCCGCATGAAGTATGGAGTACATACAATATCACAATTACAATTTACAACATACAACATACAACCATAGACTGGTCAGTGCCGTCCCAGACTCATTTCTCGTTGTCATTCGTTGCTCCAAATGCCCGGATTAACGCCCTCCCCACTTGGATCAGTGGCCTCCCCGCGAATCGCAACCCACAGCTGGCTCTTTTTCAGTCGGTGGCTTCGAGCTAACATATGATTATCGTCCAGGGCTTGTTCATTGCTCGATTATCCAGAGGGCCATCACAGCCCAGTGACTAGCGGGCTCCACTGCAGTCTCGAGGCTCCACGGCTCGACTATCCAACACCCCCGGTCTAAAGATGAAACGCTCTCTGCGGAGAGTCACTGGCTGTTGGAGTCATACAAGTCTAGACGTTAGACTCAACTTTAAAGTCCCTTCGCTTTCATCCCTGGAACCTTGGAAGGATGTTCTCCGAAAGGTTCGGGACGGGCCTCCGTACCAAACTATGGACAACTATGGCCGTTGAGACTTCAAGTTCATATGTCTCAGATTATACGAAAATATATTTCAGAAATGAATATGCGACTGTTTCGGAAAATATGAAACATTTTAGGGTAGAAGACACCCTTACATCTATCCGCATATGTATGGTCCCTTGAAACAACGTTGGAAAATTCTCCGAATGCCCGGCGAAGGTTGGAGTTGCAATTAAAAATTAAGGGAAAAGATGAAAATCACCTTCGCGCCGATCACTTCACCGTTTTTGAGTCGTTCGGCGTCTCCGAATGCGCTGTTCAGAAGGCGGGAGAGACGCGACAACTAGACTGGTTGTCAATACGAGTTTGTGCGCTATATCGATGTACAGTTCCAATCGTGCAGATACTCAGCTTGAGTCTATCAGCTGATCTAACATGCGAACGAGTCAGAATTTGTAGGGGAACCTTTTTCAACCTAGCCATACATGACGAATAGCCCGGTACGCCGGTCGTACCACTGCCCTGTCACGTAGTTATTTGCCGCCCATACCGTCTAAGCAAAGTAGCCAACGATAACTCTCTGCTAAGGGAGAACCCTCGAGTGGACCGGCCTTTACCTCCCCATGTGGACTTCCGTGCGCGCAATCCTCTTGATCCGGCCACTGGGGAATCGCCCTGGCTATTTGTAGAATTTCCCTTTTGACTTTGCGATGGGGGCGCTTCAGAAGCACCGCGCAACTTTCGCGGCTTGTCCTTTTGACAGGTTCTAGGTCTTTGCAGTCTCAATTTCTTCCCGTGTTATCACAGTAGTCACATCGACTTCTTACCAATGAGATCCCTATGTTCTTTCTACATAGACATTGTGGTTTCCAGGCATTTTCCCCCACATCAGGGGGGCAACCCCATCACATAAATCCCTGGCATCTTTGGAAATTCCTCAATGTCTTTGATCTTTTGGTTTTAACAAAACAATTGATTTTTGCACCCAGATTTTATCTCTGACGTGGCCAACGGAGAACCCTGAAATTCAACGCCACAGACTGTGGCGAAGCAGATGCAGCTTTAAGGCTTCGATCCACAGTGAACTTTTCTCGTTTATCTACTGACGTCTGTGAGTCAAGGGTTTTATCTTTTCCTATAATTCTTAATCCTTGCGATGTCTATTGACACTTAATTCTTTAGTTGTGCGACTTTGAGATACTCTTTGTTTTGTGCGAATTCCATCTACTTTCTACTTAATTCTATACCCCCACCATCAAGCGCTAGGCGCCCATGAATATTGATCTGTTCGTTTGACATGACTCAGATGCCGTGAGCTTACATATTGAACATGATGAAGTTGGACCAAAGAGCTGATTAAGTCAGACAGCCATAACTATACCATAACGACGTGATGGTTACTATAACGAAGTACATGTACCCACAGTTTAACCACTTGTCCCTGAATTGGAGCCGGGAACTTCACTCCGTACGCCATGTCGTACAGTTCTGGCCATCACATGCCACACCGTTCTTCTTCAAACTTATCGCATACCAATGGTGTCTATGGCCGAGCTCCGCGATCCCAAATTGCGAGACTAGTCAATCACACCCCTAGAAGCAGAACCCCATCATTCTCAGATGCCGAAGGTACTGGCCCAGTATCAGCGCCATCGGCTATCAAGCGATCTACCAGTCGCGGAAATCGCCTGTCCATGCTTCCGCGCCCCAGTATTGGTAGCACAGCATCTCCAACTACGCCAGTGTCTGCTTCTTCTCAGAACTCCACCCAGCCAATTCCCTCCTCGGTTTCGAGCCAGGAGATTAACAAACCCTCGCCTTTTGTTGCTGGACAACAATTGCCCGCGCCAAAACGAGCACGAAATGTCCTTCGAAGGAGGGCACCGACAATAGGGAAACATGTGGAGCAATTGCACTCTGACAAGCTTAGTCTTGTTATTCCGCAAGAGTCTCATTCTCTCGTTATGAACAATGCATCAGGACACAGAAATTGGTCCTCTTCACCTTCAGGGCAATCGGCTTCCTCTTACAAACCAAACCACAAGAATGACAGTAATGTGGCGGTTAACTCGGCGAAGTCTAGGTTCAATGGTCCGGAGGAACTGGCAAGTCTTCGAACCTCAGTCGATACCCAAGACTTGCCAGCACCTCCCGCTCCCTTCTTATTGGCAACTAGCCCCTCGACAAGATACACGGAGTCTCCGAGTATTTGGAGCCGCGGGTCCACCCCAACATCATTATCGTCATATTCTCCCGGTATTACAAAGATTGGTCGTCTGAGACAACCGAGCCCGTCTCAAACAAGATTGCCTGTCTTCTCTCCTCCACTGGCATATGCAAGCCCTCAGCAAGAAAGGCCGGAGCTGAAGACCCAAAAGCGGATACTTCCGGCGAAGTCTTCTGCCTCAAGCTCAGTGGGAACTGGCAATGGCCAGAGAGCACCATCATCTAAATCTCCCTCAACAGTACCCCGAGGCCCACCTTGCAGTCCGCCGCCGAGAAAGTCATCTGTCAATTTCAGCCCCCCAAAATCTTCGGACATCGACGTTGAGCAGGCTCGGAAGGAAGTGGAGGAAGCCGAGAGGCGTTTATTTGACCCACAAAGGGTTATGCAATGTTCCCCCTCACGGGATGCGGAGACACCGCAAAGCCCACCACGACCGAGCAGAGACGGAACGCATCGCTTAGAGCTTGAAACATCGCCGATCGTTCAAAGCAACCTACGACATGTTAGAACAACTGGCCATACAAGACGCGAGTCGATAGAAAAGGCCCTGGCGACCAAACAGCCACATCCAACTCCAAATCAGTCTGCCGCTGCATCGATTGACTCGCTGCAATCAAGAAGCATCTCTAAAGTCTCTTCTCGGGATCGCGGCTCTCCCATACTATCCAAAAAGCCACCTCGGACATCGACTAAGGAGACCTCCAAAGAGAAACCGGATTCAAAGCAAATACCAACACAAAAACGGTTCGGTCTGTTCACGAAGAAGTCTAAGCCGAGTATGTCAGAGAATTTGACGGAGCAATCTCGAGCCACTCGCAAAGGCCCAGCCGCAGGGACAGGCCACGAGGGCTATTGGAAATACGGACAGCGCGGCCGCAAAGCAAGCGGTAGTAGCAGTAGCGGGACGAGAACAAGATCAACAAGCACAACACGGAGTGGCGCTAGCAAAGGGAGTCAGTCGAGTCGCCCAGAGTTGGACATTGACGATTTTCTCATGAGCCGCCTCGAGCCTGTCATCATCAATGGTGGTGGACTAGATGGTGCGTCTTTGTCACGAACGCGAAGCGAGCAAAGTTTCAGCAGCGTGAGCGTCGCTTCGGCTTCGAACTTGCCGCAGCAAACCCTGCTATCCTACTCGACTGGCCAGTCTACTGAATCCCTCGCGACTTCAACGGGGACCTTCGGTGAAACTATTACTCCAAGTTATTCTAAAGGCACCGGTCCCGTAGAAAGCAAGAGCCCTGAGTACCAATCTAACGTGAGTGGTCGTCCAAATGCATCCAAGTCACGCATGCCCGTCCCAAGAGGAAACAAACACGGCATGTGCGCGAACCCCCAGGCCGCTGTCACAAACACGTCCCTTCCTAGCCCCGAGTCAAGCACTGCCACCTTACAGCAACCAAAGCGTGCTCAAAAGTCCCCCGGAAGCATCACCAAGCCTGAGCAGGCTGAGAAGGAACAAGCCAAGAAAGGAAAGTCATCCATGTGGAACCTTTTCCAGAAGAACCGTGCCAACGAGCAGAAGAGCTCAATTCCTCCGACGACTTCATCTCAAACCGCAAAACTTCATGCAGCGATCTCCCCGGTTCTGAACACTCGGCCCGTGGCCCATTACGCCTTGGTGGATGCTGATTCGGACGAGCTAGATGAAATCATCAACAACATCGAAGACTCACCACCAACAGAGGAGGAAACGATTTTCCACCCCGTGGAAATTCCAAGAGGTTTGAGCATCAGAAAAAGAAAGCCATCAGTCCTGTTGCCGTCTCCACCAAAGATGCATTGTGAGTTCCAAAATGATGATCGGCCATCGCCGAGGACAGCCATGTTCAATCGCAACCTTATGGCTCCGGAGCTCGAGATATCACCTGAACAACGCCCTCGCTTGGCCTCTGTTGGTCGGATCCCACGGGTAGTTTCGCGGCGCGATAGACACCATCACCCCGCCATGCAGTCTTTCTCGCGTCCGTTCAGTGTTGTCGAATCGCCTTCCCTCACGATTCCAACGACAGAAAGCTCATACGAATCTCCACTTGTCGCCAATGTTCCGTTGAATCTGGGGATTGGTCCAAGCGAATCTTCTGACTGGGGCCATGGGTTCAACCCGACTTTTAGCGCTTCCGAGGAGACCAGTGCTTTGGAGTTTCTTGCCGGACCGTTCTTAAACTATGAATTTCTTCAATTTCCGCCGAAGAAAGGCTCAACCTCGTCAGATAGTTCTGGAGCTCTGGCTGCGGTCACAGCCGTGAACCCGATTCCAGGTTCCCCGCCGACTGAGGACGAGGTGTGGAATGAGTACGATGATCTTATTGATCACGTCCTGTCGCCAGATGAACCGAAGCCTGAGGAGACGGAAAAGACTGAAGAAGAGGACAGATTTGAACTTGCAACCATGGCGAGCAGGGCTCTTCAAGACGAATTGAATAATGCCAATCATCCAGTACCTGGCGGCAATTCAGTCCGCTCCAGTGGTAGCTCTGTTCATCTTCGCCGTTCTCAGATTGTCTCTGCTTTGCAATCGTCTACTGCTCCTTCGTCTCAGCCGTCTTACAGTGATCTTGTTGCTGGGTATAGACGCTCAAATGATGAAAAGGCCCAGCAGACTACCGAGCCCACTGAGCAGCCTTCTTCAACAGATCAGCGCCGTCAACAGCAGTCAACGTTTCTCCACTCGCTCGCTGCTGTCCCTTCGCCTAGACCAAAGTTCCACCGAGAACAAGAAGCCGCATCTTCGGAGCGCGAGTGGGACGCAGTGACACGGACTAATATGCGTTCCGCTTCGCTCATGACTAGTCGTTGGTTATCTTTCGGTCGAGTCCTTTTCAGCCCGGCACATAACCACGTCAAGGCCGGAGGACAAGGCCGAATTCTTGTGATTGACGGACTCGGAAATGATGACTGGTCTTTCTACTGTTCCTTGACATATCCTGATGCCGAGGTATACAGCCTGGGTGGACGTCCTGTATCCGCGGCACCTCCGCACCCCGCTGCATGGCAGCCCCCCACTAACCACCACACTGTGTATCACGCAGGACTGGGCAACCCGCTCCCCTTCCCAAAGGACTACTTCACAGTCGCGGTACTACGATTTCCTGCCGTCTGCTCCGAGACTGTCCAAGGCAACATCGTCCAAGAATGCAAACGTGTTCTCCGCACTGGAGGGTATCTAGAAATGAGCCTCCTAGACCGTGACATGATCAACATGGGGCCCCGCACACGCAAAGCCATTCGTCAACTCAAAGAAGTGACCTGTCTCTCGGACTCGACCCTCAGCCTGAAACCAACCAGTGACAGCGTACAACGCGAGCTCGGCGCCCAGGGCTTTGACAGTCTCCGTCGCTGCATGGTTCGAATCCCAGTCGCAGGCATGGTCCTCCGATCCTCTGACTCCAGCTCATCAGCCAACTCCATTTCAACAGCCACCCCTTCCACTGCATTCTCGCTACCTACCATATCCGTCACCACCGCAGGTGGTAGCCAAAGCACGAGAACTACCTCTAAGTCCCCCTCAAATGATGCGAATATCTCTCTGGGAGATTTGCTCTCTGACCCTTCCCCGTCTCCGGCAAACGACGAGTCTATCGCCAAGATCGTTGCCCGCGTCGGACGCTGGTGGTATTCTAAATGCTACGAAGATCCTGTTTTCTCGACTGGAAATACTGATCGCAGTATTTGGAACGACCGAAAGGTACTCCGCGAGTGCCAGAAGCGCGGCACCGGGTTCCGCATGTTCATCGCTTACGCCCAGAAGCCTAGTGAAGTTCCGCGACGCACGGCGAGTGTGTAATGGAACAAAATCACGATATACGTCGTTTTTCATCTTCATTTTTTGTTTCTTGCTTTTGTTTTCTGCTTTTTTTGATGAGATCCATGATTGATTGATACTACGCGCTGCATGAAAAATACCCATATATATGCCTTTATGAAGTCTGATTGTTTTTGAGCGTTTGGAAGACATGGGCTTTGTGCCATATACTTAATGCTCGCATTTGCTTTCCTTCTACTTGTTTTTTATTCGATATGGCGTGCATGATGCTATGACTGATATGTGCCATAGAGGAAGAGGTGTGTTGTGTGGGATTACCATTGTACAAGCAGGACTTAATATGGATAATCAATTACTTTAATTAGAAATCTAGCTGGTATCGGCAATAAGTAGGCGCCTAGATACCAATGTGGCGCAAGCAAGCCCCTTTCCTATCGCGCAGAGTCAATATGTGGAGAAGATGTGTAGTTTTGAGGTTCCATAAGACTGTATCGCCAATACAATTTATACAGCAGATACCAGGGTCCCGAAGGTGATCGATGCTGAAAACAACCCCTGTAGCTTCTCTTCCTGTAGCACTCAGCACTATCTGTCTTGCGTAACTCGCATTTCTCATTTGATATGATGGTATCTCAAATTAGATGTACAAGAGTCATTTAACTGTCATAATTTGTACAGAAATAGAACAAAGGAAAAAGGAAAGACCCTTCTACTCAAGAAGAGCAACCATCAACCGCTGGTAATCACTCGAAGTCTCACTGCGCACCCGGTCAATCAAGTTCTGCCCGAACTTGTGTTTGTAAGCGCGCTTGACCATCTCCTTGTGGTTGCGATCCCAGTGGGCTCGGACAACACGGACAATAAGACGCTCGTCCTTGGTGCCCATGCCGCTCATGGATTCCTCGAGTAGGATAGCATCACGCATGGCAGGATCCGTAGCCGAGCGGAGCATCAGGAGCAAGGCATCTTCCATGTGGCCCGAGAATTCCTTCTCAATATGCTTCTCGAGGGGGATATGGTAGCGTGACTCGAAGCTCTGGCTAATAGCGCGGAGCTCGGCATTGGACGCCTTGGCAAAGATTGCGCACACGTCTGTGACATTCTTCCCTTGCAGGGAGCGAACGTCTGTATCAATGGTTTGCGGGTTGATAGGGGTAGACTCCTCGTGGCGAGCAGCATGAAGGACAATTTTGAAAAGAGTGGACGTCTTAAAGGAGAGGTCGCCTTCGACGTCTTTAGCAAGCGAACGTCTGTGTCTCATTTCGTAGGCGGTCCGGATAGCGTTGATATCAGCGTTGGAACGGCCGAGCAGGATCTCGTTGAGTAGCCACTCCTTTGTGCCAGCGCCATCAATTGCCGAGTGCAAGCTCTCGACATCATGCATAAGCGGTCCGTCTATCACGGCAAGTAGGCCGTCGCGGAAGTCCCCGCCTGTCTCGGACTTGACATCCTTGATCAAATCGCGGCCGAGTTGCTTGGAATATACCTCGCGGACAGCAGCCATCTGGAGCGGGTCGAGTTGTGAGAGAACTGCAATCAGAGCCTTCTCGTCTGTGCCGAATCCCTTCATTGCTTTGCGAAGCGCATCTGCTTGGGGGCGGAAGTCACCTGGCGCTACTTGGCCAGGAATGTAACCGAGAGACGGTTGTGCTGGAGGACCCTGTGGCGGAAAGGCGCCTCCAGGTGGTGGTGCGCCGTATCCAACGGGTGGTTGGCCCGGAGCTGGGTACCCGGGCCCACCCGCGGGCGGTTGACCTGGAGGGGCATAACCATACGGCTGCTGACCGTATGGAGGTTGCGCAGGCGGAGCATGGTATCCGTGGGGTTGAGGAGGTGGCGCGCCGTACTGACCTGCCTGTGGAGGGGGCGCACCATATTGGCCTTGTTGGGGTGGGGGATAATGGCCCTGTTGGGGTGGGGGGTATTGGCCTTGCGGAGGGGGGTATTGGCCCTGCGGGGGAGGGACACCGTAAGGCTGCTGATAGCCCTGGGGTGGAGGTCCTGAGGGAGGGCCTTGTTGTCCGTACTGGGGAGCATATCCTCCGTACGGAGGTTCTATTGACTGAGTTAGCTCGTGCCAAGGCTCGAAACGTATTATTTGAGATGCACTCACGGTTAGGTTGATAAGACATGGTGTGCAGACTGTGACTTGTATGTGTGTAAGTCCAGAATGTGCGAGCTGAGGTGAGCGGCTCCTTATATGTCCCCGCCTGCTCGGCTCCAGTGTGGCGCAGCGAGGTGGGGGCGGTTGGGGGCTGTCTTCACAGCCTTGCGGCTTATTCTCGACGTCGCTATTTACGAGAGTGGACTTCATAGTTTTCGTATCCATGGTTGGACTCGTATAGTTAAACAAAATTCGTTGTTGCCTTCTTGCCAAGTCCAATAGACTGTCTTTCATCTCCACCGTATACAAAATGGATAGGATCGCCAACTTGACTTCGATCAGACCCCTGAATCGTTTCAATCCTCAAGACCTCTCACATTCAAAGTCCTGATCATCGCAATCACAACTTCAACCATTTCCCTCCACCGCAAACAATGGTCCCTTTCTTCACCTCGCTATCGCTAAATGGCATATCAAACCCGCCCGTGATGGCAACCCCATTCTTGAGCTTGATTTCAATCTGGTCCTTTTCTATGGGCAACTCTTCGAATTCTTCGGATTCTCTGAGTAACTGGTCGGCTGAATCATAGGTGACGTCGGCATTGGGAATGGAGAAAGACTGCCCGAAGCTAGTCAGGTTGCCCACGAAAATATACTGAGCGCCTTCAACTTCAAATTGACCAAGGACTCGTCCTTTGTCGCTTGTCAAGGTTCCAGTTCCTTGAGGCATCTATTTCATGAGTTGATCAGTATGCACTACCTATAGAACGGGTGGAAGGGTGCTAGGTGCTCACTGTGGGGAGATCCTGCCAAATATTCGCTGGTATTGGAATTGATGCTACGAATCAGGTGGTCATTCGGTCATTTAAAGAGACCAGGCAAGGAAGAGCGGTCAGTTTTCAGAGTCCCAAGGTGGGATACCGTGCAGTGCATCCGATGTCATACATGCAGGCAAAGTGGAGAGCCGTGTTCGGCATCGATGTTATGGATGGCGGTTCGTCTTATCGAGGCGCTCACAGCACAGAACATGGTGCATATGCAAGGTGCAACTTATACCAGAGATGCGGGGCTACGTAAGGGGCAGGGCTCCAACCACCCTATCCGGCCGCAGGTCCTGAATATAAAAGTCAAAGAAAGTCACGGATAAGAATCCATCAAGATGAAACAGCGTGATTATCTACAGAATCTAGATTTTCAAGGCTTGATCGACTCGAAGATTGGAACCTTTAAATCCAGTTCCTTTTGGGGAAATGATTCATCGTTAGAGCGGGATAAAATATATATCTACGCAAAGATACACTTTGAATGAATTTCTGAACCCTGTTTTATTCCATCGTGAACCCTTATGCATTTCTTATTCTAGATATGGATGCTTGAAGAGAGATTAATTTATTCTAGATTCTATATAGCCTCGGTTATGCTTCTTTTAAGCCTAAAGATCGTGAGGTCTATGCTTCTGCCCCAGAATTGATGACGCTAGCCGTATTTGGCTAGCGCAGCTTCAGCAACTGATATTGCCTCCATGAAATTCGCAGAATAGGCTCCTAGATTCCATCTGAAATGTCTCATACATTTGTTCTATCTTAGTGCTAACGGAATCTAGTGTTCTAGTGTGATACCATACACGAACTGTACGGCAAAAGGTGGTCAATGCATATATGATCCCGATAGTGATCGTAGGCGGAAATCTTATAGCGTCGAGTCGTTGGCATTACATCAAGCGCTGCTCTACACCGTGTTAAGCTTCGCTTAGGAACCCTGGATAACGTGGAGACATTTATTTGAAAAATTTGGAGCGTGCAAACCGACCGAGATAGAGAAAATTTCCTCCTTTAGGAGAGCGGGCTGTTTAATCTCGGGTGATAGGTGGACAGAGATCAAAGGATGGTGAAGGGCTTGGCATGGGACATGATCACTTGTGCATATTGTTAAACAAGAAACAGAACCAATATAAGCCCCTCTAGGCTATAAATAGAGACCGTGGTTTTGTTGTGGCATAGTGGTAATACGCTATATTAGTTTTTGCCCTCACATATGAGTAACTAATATATTGTCAGATGCTTGGTCTGTCAGGCAAACATTTTTGCCTGAGACATCAATGGGACAGAACCTAGATAGTCAGTTAGCTCGCTCTCTCTTTCCTTCTGTCCTCTCCCCGTCCGACCCTTTCGTGTATGAATCCCGCTACACAGGTCTCTCTGTACGAATTCCTTAGTAGTGTGATTCTCTAGATATATTCATATAGTAAGCTACTGTATATGTTACTATATAGGAGTGCATATTCCGAAGCTATGTGGAAGGAGGCTAGCCGATCTTGGCATTAGCGTTCGGAAAACAATCGAATGAGTGTAGGCGGTGACACCAGTTTCGAGACGTTCTATAGCGGGTAGGGGAGAGAGCTTGACTAAAAGAGGAGAGATCGAGATACGGTGACTATCGGTAGGTAAAATAAGTTGACTAAACCGATTTGTCTCAACTCCGCCCGCGTCATGGATCCATCCATGGATATTCGGGTGAGTTATGTAACCATTCCGCAACGACTCAACTAAATATACTAGTCGGCAAGATAGTTGCTCCATCCCCACCGCAGATTGCAGTTGCGACATTTTTGAATTTCCCCCATTATTTGCCCTCTCTGCAGCCGGAAGCATGTGGCGCTGATAGTTGACCATTACCATAAATACTAGGGCCTGCTACTCTTCCCGTATCCTTTTGGTCATTCGTTGCGCATCCGGCATATCATGAAGGCTCTTATTTCCAACCGCAGAATTGCCACCAGGTTTGTCAACCTCGTCTGTGGCAGTTCGGTCGGTGGTCAAGGGGGACAGGTTAAAGACGATGTTCCCGTTCCTCCAATCTCGCCCGACGAGATTTTGGTCAAAGTTAAGGCGGTCGCGTTGAATCCGACGGATTTCAAGCACCTAGACGCCATTTCTCCTCCTCACTCCATCATAGGCTGCGACTATGCCGGCGTGGTCCAACAGGTCGGCAGCGCCGTCAGCCGATGGACACCCGGCGATCGTGTGGCGGGCGCCGTGCACGGTGGCCTTTTTCCCGACAAGGGCGCTTTCGCCGAGTACTTGAAAGTCGACTCGGATTTGGCTTGGAAGATTCCTGATGAAATAAGCGACACGGACGCCACCACCTACGGCGTCTCAGCTGTGACTGCCATGTTGACCCTCAATGTCCGTCATGGCCTCCCCTTCGTCCAAGGTGATGAGGCAGCCCTCAGAGATGAGGCGATCTTCATCTATGCTGGAGCCACCAGCGCTGGGCTGTTTCACATCCAGATTGCAAAGGCAGCTGGGTATAGAGTTGTTACGACTGCCTCGCCGCGTTCATTCGACCTTGTCAAGGCGTACGGTGCCACTGCAGTGTTTGACTACAGGTCGGCAACCGTTGCAGCAGATGTCATCAAGGCGTATCCTAAGATCTCGAAGGCCGTCGATTGTTTCTCCGAAGGAAAATCTACTTCCGTATGTGCAGAAGTACTGAAAAACACTGGCGGTACGGTGGTAACGCTATTGCCTAACGGCAAGTCAAGCGTACCGGGCGTGGCGTACGAGATGGTGATGGCGTATACATTGTTCGGTCACCCTTTTCAGTGGTTACCCCCAATCGGCCCAAAGTTCGAGGCCAAACCAGCCGACCGCGAAGCTCTTGTCCGCTTTTACAAAGTCCTTCCAACAATCACACACATCTTAAAACCGATTCCTACTGTCAAGCAAAAGGAAGGGTTTGAGGGTATTTTAGATGGATTGAACAAACTACGAGCAGGCACTGTAGCTGGGGGCAAGTTAGTAGTGGATTTTCCAGCTTAGTATAGCGCTGTATTATGCGAAGTGAAATGAATCAAATTCGAGTCCGAAAGACTTAGTACGACCGCAAGAGAGCTTGACTATGCGTGGGTCAATTACCAGAGGCATAGAAACATTGGCCGACTTTCGGTGTTCAGAGTTACCGCCACGACGCGACTTCATCAAATACCGAAGAAATTATGCAATCTTCTTCTGAAATATAACAAATAAAGTTGAACTATCAAGAGGGACTGGGCCTGCAAATCAAACTGTTGCTCTACATCATCGTGCGTTTGGGTGATGTCGAGATATCCTTACCGCCTAGACGTCAGCCTATGCGTTGCCCATACGGACAATCTCAACTGATTTCAGCGCAAAGATCATCCGAAGCGCTGCCGCGAAAGATCCATCCGTTGACTACTAGAGCGTCAGTACGCCTCGTATTCGACGTTTTTGTGGAGCAAGCCGCGGCGCAATTATTATGCCGTGCCCCGGGTAGCAACCACAATTGGGACTAGCTTCACCCGATTCCTAGACCGCCTTCAGCACCGCTCTATACCACTGTAAAAATCTCCATATTCACCCAATTTTAAGCGTTTAAGCCAATCCTAATGCCTCGTCGCATTAATTTCGACCCTTATAAAGCCGAAATTCTCGATCCTCTCTCTTATGATACTATATATATTAAGCTATTCTAGCTATTCTATAAGGCAAATATTGAATTCTTACCCGCCGCCTAACTACTTTTAAGAGCCGCCTTCGAAAATACTAGTCTCTATTATAATTTACGCACTAAGAAAGCCAAGATTTACGGCCATATTAAAGACTTCGGGCGCCGTACTTTTCACCGTCATCTTCAGGTAATAGGACTATTATATGAAAATTATATTACTTTGAATTATAACGAGTTGGCCGTAAAAGAAGTATGTATAGCTAACGCTCTCTGGCTGATTCTTCCCTCCAACTTTCCTGACTTTGAGTGATACCAACTAACTGGTCATCAAGCCCCATGCAGTTTTGTCCTAGTACTCATTACTATATCCCACGTACCACGTATATATGTATTAGTTGCTAAGACTTCATGATATTTTTGCATGCTGCAAGGCCTTCTCCACATCGTCGCGTTGAAATCCAGGCGTGCGACCTAAGCAGACTCCCCGGCTTATTAGTGCTACCAAAGTCAGAAAACTCTTCAGACCCCAAATTAGAGTACATATTTACCTGGCATCAGTCGCGCGATGTTGATAGTGGTCTTCGTTGGTGAGCCCTGATTTGGCTCATCAGAACACAAAATCAGATTCACGTCTTTCTCCCGGAGGAATCCCTCCAGGTCTTGCAAGTCAAACCAATCCCCTTGTAGCTGCTCTTGAATATCTGGTGAAACAAGCGACAAGGGATCCTTAACCATATCCCATTCATGATAACCGCGGAAAGAGTGGCCTACCCTCGGGCTCTGCAATGAGAGTCGGGGATAGTGTGTTCCTGCACTACCCAAGCCGAAGAAGGGGATTTCCTCCCACCCATCTAACGGCTTCTTGCTTACTTGGGCATCTAATCTCGCTTTGAAGTAAGCTGTGAGGCGCTCCCGATTCATCATACTGAAAAGGAACCCGAATGGCTTTTGAAGACGATATAAACCGATGGACTGATCGCATAAAGCCAATTTTCCCTGGTAGAGACATGCCAAATTCAGTCTTTCAATGAATTCAGGCAATTCTATGACTGAAATACCTGGTGATTCGAGGGTACGTGGGAAGCTGTCACTGGTGAAATGATCAGATCCGCTGCGATCCAGGGACAAAAGCGGGGGTATGTTGGATGACGGGATCGTTATTGGCCCGGGAAATGAAGATTGGGGCAAGTCTTCACTGTGTGAGGTGACGTCGGAAACATGTGTCTCGCGGTCGGGGTTTGCTTCGGATGCCAAAGAATGAAAGGTCTTTATCGTTTCATGTAGATGTGCGGTCAAGTCAGAGTATGACGCCAGTACCCCAGATTGAACCAGCTGGCCGCTAAATGACAGAACAGTAAGGCTCATTTGATCCAAGATGGTCTCCAGCTGGGAAATACGGTTATTGAGGCCTGTAATGGCCTCCCGCTGGCGAGAGCGAAATGCCCTTTGCGCTAGGCGAATCTGCATGCGACGGCGCTGTTGCAAAAGTCAGTGGTTGGGTTAATGCATATCAAAGGCTGATGGAGGTTGAGCAATATCCAACGAACATCTTCTGGAACTCCACTTAATGGGGCTTCAGCATCTCGTGGTTCTCCGCGTTTTTTGGCTGACGATGGGGCCGGCTTTGGCTCATAGCGCAGGCGTTTTTGCGGTTTCTGTATTTTGGATTGAGAGGGACTTGTTTGTTTCTTCTGATTTTCGCAAGAACGATTCTCGAGGAATACGTCGCCAGACATAGGCAATTGCCCATGCATTTGAGTTCTTTGTGAAGTAGATGATTCGGTCTGGGGACAAGAGGAGATTGGCAGCAGTGAGGTAATGTCGGTCGCTGAGTGTGGTACGAAAGATCGGTTTTGGCCTAATGGCAAGGTACTATGCTGTTTATCCTCAAAGCCCGAGAGACGTAGGTCACCGGATTGCTGAAGCGATAATGGCTGGTCCATAGGGTGTTACGTATGACGTACGTTAACAGAGCACCAAGATAAAGAACAGAGAAATAATCTAAGAATGAGCAAATGCAGATTGTATTGCGATCGCCATAGGTGTCACCTGACGTGCTGGACCATTTGATGTATTCGGCAGATACATTAACGTAAACCCAACCTACTGAATTTGGATGTATTTATCTTAACCAAAACGCCATTAAATTGATTCAACTAACTAATATGTCTATCTGGACATCTATTTATTTTATGCTCTATTCCTTCACAGCCACTACATTTTGGTGTGGCCCGTGTACGGCTTCGTAACGGGCTTAGCTGCTACCCCAAAAGACGTTATGAGGTCGAAAACAAAGTATCTGCCAAATCACTGCAGCAGGCTCCAAGCCTATAAGGCCGTTCATAGAGTGTTTTCGCGGAATCTAGAGTGGGTCCTCTTCCAAAGGTGGCAGATCAATATTCTTAACATCACCCTTGCTGATTTCTATGGCCCCCAAATCAATATCATGGACTAGGCGCATCTAAAGTGGGATCCCGTATATCTATTAGCTTATGTACACTCTCTTCCATGGGGTTGAACGGGTATTTTTAATGCAGACGAGGGTGGCAATCCACGGGAAAAGAAGTTTGGATTCGCAGACTTGTTGTAAACATTGGCACCACAAATTCCGCAAAAAAATATCTGTATAGTATGCGAGCTGAACCAATATTCCTATATCATATTGGTCAATTATCCTACCGATTCCCCAGGTGGTTCATGCCTTGAGCGAGTTTGTCCCTGGGTGAATCTCTATATCATCCACGAACGCAAGCAGACTGCCTGCAATGTGACCTTAGCTACCTGAAATGGGTTTTTATTCAGTCAATTGCATGATATAACTAATTCACAGGGCAGGGGAATGTAAATCTTGTAGGGGGCATTATGCATGCGTGTACATACGAGACTACCATTAATTGCAACAGCGGAGACGGTAGTTTTGCAGAGAAACGCGCGGCCTTGCAATAGCAATTTCCCTCGTAGGGGACTTCTGTAAGATGATCCATACAACCCTGATCCTCAGGATCTTTAGATGTAGGCATTGTCAAAATCTCAATTTCTGCGTGACAGATCTCTCTCCCTTTTCCCTTTGTCGTGCTGAAGTTGATAGTACTAGAGCAAGGTCCAGATTATACAGTCAGATTTCAGAGTTGGATGTGAGAAAATGGGTTAATCTAAGCCATCATTGAGAACCAATTATAACCTGTGGGTTTAACATCGTTTGGGAGTGTTGTACACCGCCCGTTGAGACTGAACGGGATTCGGCTTGACTAATAGACCGACTCGGCAATAGTTCAAGGACTGACAAGTCAAATCCGGTGTCCTGTACACTAAGTACGGCAAAACATTGGCTTAAAAGGTTTCATCGTCGGTCAAGTTATGGTCGAGTGAAATGATGAGTGATCATCCCGAGCCGACCTCGGTAAACTTAATTAGCATGGATGTTTAGTCACAGCTCACCAACTGAACTCTACTCTTACACTATACTTTCCCGCCATTGATTTTCATTCATTGTTCCAGGGCTCAATCATGCACTCTCCCCAAAAAAGAAAGAGCAGAATGTGACTCTAGTCATAGTACTGTCATTCGGATAGAGGAAATCGATATTTTTGTAGTCAACCGGGTTGAGGGCAGTGGGACTTCGAACTAGTATCTCACTATCAGTGATTCGGGGAGTTGGCATATCAGCGACTGTGCACATTGACCGAGTGACGAGGAACAAGCGAAGTTGAGTGGTTGTTTTGCAAGATATCGGTTGGCCATGAGAGCTCTCATGTTGGCTGGAGCGTTGTGCAAAGTAAGCCAAATCAAGGCGGTGAGTATATAATAAGTACCTAAAAGGCAAGTTCCGCAAACGTAGTATAATCCGAGAATTGTATGCAAGGTTCGCTTGAAGAGATATTTGAGGAGGTTCGACGGGACGATTCAAAAGGCCGACGGTCAATCAAATGATGTCGACGACACGCTATGTAATCGCCATGGTCATCAACCGAGACTCGGGATTATTATTCATCAGGACCTTCACCCTCCGGAGATCACAAGATGAAATTATGTCATGACTTTACGTTGGAGATTCAAGTATTTAGTTGAATGGCAGCTAGTATTTGTACGAAAATTGGCAGCGGCCAAAGTTGGATCCATTGTTCCATTTTTTTCAAATATGTCTTTTCTTTTTGGCAAGAGCCACTCTTTTGACCCTAGGAAAGATATTCCAAGTCTTGCTGGACGGGTCATTCTGGTGACTGGGGGCAACAATGGTCTTGGGAAAGAGACCATAAAGCAATTGGCGATGCACAATCCCACCAAAATATACATGGGTGCTCGCAATGCTGAGAGAGCAGAAGAAGCAATTCTTGATATCAAGCGAGAAGTCCCTTCCGCGGACATCGCTTTTCTGGAAATGGATCTTGCGTCTTTCGCCTCCATCAAACACGCGGCTGAATCATTCCTGTCCACAAATGACCGTCTCGATATCCTCATCAATAACGCCGGTGTCTTTGCTTCTCCCCCGGGTTTGACCAAAGATGGATATGAGGTCCAATTCGGCACAAATTACATGGGTTCAGCACTACTCACTCGACTGCTTCTGCCGATCCTCACCAAGACCGCTGGTACTTCCGGGGCTGATGTTCGTGTCGTGAACATTAGCTCCGAGATATATCGAAACGCTCCCAAAGCTGGTTTACTTCTCAACCAGGTCAAGACACCCCTTACCGAGATTAGCACTGTCGCCCGTTATGGTCACTCAAAACTCGCCAACATATACTTTGCAAAATCTTTCGCCCGACATTTCACCAATATTAAGTCGGTTGCTCTACACCCAGGGCTTGTCCGGACGAACATCGGGGGTGGGATGACAGCCAACCGGATTCTGTCAGTCATCTTTCAACTATTCACCTCAGTGGCTTCCGTGGATGTTTCTACAGGCGCGCTCAATCAGCTATGGGCAAGTGCCGCTGATAATGCTGAAGTGAAGAGCGGAGCGTATTATATCCCCTTCTTCAAGGAAGTGAAAAGAATGGGCATCGAGAGTGACATGGAAAAAGCGGAAGAATTGTGGCGATGGACAGAGCAAGAGTTCAAGGAACATGGCTTTTAGTGATTGTGTAATGCAATGTGTACTGTATCGTAATCGTGTTGAGAATCTCCAAATATGACGCTTCAGGTCCTCCATTAAGTACTTTTAAGAGGTTGGGTGGCATTCTTTTGATCTAAATATCGCGAATCTAAGTGTACAGCAATGTACTTTCTTCATCCGGCAATGAAAGCTAATATATACAATGCGCTATTTAACAGCGACTCGTTGAAGCCATGGCTCATTCCGAGGTACACATGTAGCTCGAGAAATTGTACCTAGGATCCAATTGCTATACTAGAAATGAGGACGAGTTGCACGAACATAACGGATAGACTAACTTGAGGCCTCGACACTTTCCGTCGATCACATCGTCAAATGGCACGGCTGGCACCAACTAAGGCGGGTCTTTGCTAGTGTAGAGAGGAGCGTTTTGGCCTTTAACAGAATCTTCAGACCGTCGAACAAGTCAGGGGACCGTTGCACATCCCTTAGAGCATCGACCGCATATTAGTCAGGAACCAATTTGTGTCACATGTTATCACGGGATAATTTCTCCTTGAAGCTGAAGCAGTAGGTCTTTCGGAGCTCGTTCCTGACTCGGATGGTGGCGGAGTGGAAATGCCCCAACGGCCTAATCTGCAATCAAATAGAAACAGTACTGAAAGCTCCACTGTCTAATTTATCTAATCCTTCATCTTCAATTTTCAAACTCCCTTAGTTATACCTCAGCACCGGTTTTCTTTTCCTTCCCTTCCTTAGGATCCTTGATTCCATACTCCGTCTCCAACTCGGTTCGTAGTCTGATCTCCTTCTCAAAGAAGGTAATGATGAATGCCAGAGCAGCAAAAGCCAGCGAGACATACCAAACCAGCTTCAGGGTATCGGTGTATACGCTGACCACCTCCCGTTGAACTTGAGGAGCAAGAGACTTGATAAAAGTTGAAGAGACGTGAGAGTAAGCTTCTCCACCCGCAAGTTGCGCCGAAACAGCGGGGTCTGAGATACGATTCGACAAGCGCGCGAACTCGGTGTTAAAAATAGCAGCTGGAATTGCAATTCCCCAGATAGCACCGTAGCTGCGAATAAACGCCCATGTCGCCGTCGCAAGTCCAACATCCTTCTCTTCTAGGGGAACTTGCACTGCCGCTAGAGTAGTCGTGAGCAGAAGACCCAAGCCGATGGCGGTGATTACTTGGAAAATGATCCACTCTGCTGGACTAGACTCCGCATCGAACAGAGTAAAGAGACCTAATCCTAGGAGGGTCACAGCCGTAGCGACGATATGGATAGGCTTATAGCGGCCCAATTTGGTAAGGAGGCCACCTGCGACAACGGCAGTCGGCACAGCGAGAATCACACTAGGTAGAAACTGTACACCGGCGCGAGTAGATGTAGAAAGCTTCACAGCCTGGAAATACACCGGTACAAAGTAGATCACCCAGAACGTGAGCATATTATGGATAAAGGACACAGCCAACGCGACGAAGGAAGTACGGTTTCGGAAGATATGTGGCGGCATCATAGGTTCCCGACACCATGGACTGGCCTCAAAAGCGTGGAATAGAATCATCCCAAGGAAACCGAGAACCAAACAGACGATGATCCGCCAATTTGACCAGGCGTAGGTAGTACCACCCCAGGTGAGAGCGAGGAGAATGGAGACGATAGAAGTCATAAGAAGTCCGTTGCCAGTATAGTCGATCCGCTTGACCTTTTCCTGCCATGGCTCTTTTTGATAGTTGACATGCAGAAAGGAAAACAGGCAGATGAGCGCTGTTCCGCCAATAGGGAGATTGAGATAGAACTTTGGATAAAATCGGGTGAGCCTTGCAATTCTCTCGGATATAGATTGGGCTTGAATACTTACTACCCATCTCCAGGAACTATGCTGTACAATAGCACCCCCAATAAATGGGCCAAGGGAGGTGCCGACGGCGAACACGGCGAATATCATACCCATGAAGTTTCCTCGCTCGCGCAATGGAAGCATGTCGCTAACGATCATGTCGATCATTACATTGATACCGCCACCCCCGATTCCTTGGATTGTTCGGCCAGCAATCATCATCGAAGAGTCGATCGCGCCACTGCTGATGCCGCTGCCGAGGACGAACAAGGCCACAGAGCCGATCATCAACCATCGTCGACCAAAGAAATTTGCAGTCTGTCCGAAAAGGGGCTGGAAGCAAGCACTTGAAAATGAATAGATTGTTAGTTTATTTTCTTTGTTGACTCAAATCAAAAGACAGTGACGGCTTACCTCGTCAGGAAGAACGAGTTGACAAACCAGACATAGTTCTTGCCTGCATGCAACTCATCCGCGATGAACGGCAACGCGGTCGACGTGACCGTTGACTCAACCGCAGCTAGGAGGATTGACACGCAGAGTGAGATGTAAATTGCCCAGAAGCGCCATCCTTTACCCTGCTTCTTCTTGACAGACTGGGTACTGGCGTCCGAAGCGTCGGACATGTTGACGTTGAGTACAGAGTACAAAGTTGATCGAGAAGGACGAAGCCCAGAAATCGAAATTTTGAGCGCAGAAAAGGGCCATGGTCAGAAACTGATTTCTAATAACAGCCCTTTGTCAACATGGCCGATGCCGAAAGATTCGGTGATTGTATGAGCCGACTTCCCCATTGGGCAGCCTGGCCTGTGATTGGCCCCAAGGTCGCCGAGCATTCGGTAAGAAGATCTGATTACAGATCGTTGGGTGAGAGCACCTTAAGAACCATGGAACTGTGGCCTGATCAGTTGAAAGCGGGTCTATCCTAATTGGGAGTCTGACCGTCCATGGATAGTTCAAAGTTGATCCGAAATTTAGTGGTATTGTCATCCTTAGTAAATAAGTAATATAGATAGCATGGGTGTGCATAGTCACGATGATTGCATTCTGCAAAGCGAGTACGGAGTACATAGGCCTGTTTTAAGGTTAATGATCCGGAGAACGTCGAGGCGATATCTGAGTTCATTGGGAGATCAACAACATCTTGATGGCCTTGGCTGTTTGTAGGGCGAAACGACATCACGTGAGCGGAACCTCGGCCATGTGTTCAATTTCCTATATACAAGTTGATACTGTATCTCCTTCGACATCTCGGTTCAGGTTCAGACTTGCATAATTTAGCGCGCCCAGTTTCGTAATTACCCAGGTATGCAACGAGGGGATGTCCCGCCTTTGGGGCCGGATCTACATTGATCGGAGAAGGTTTGGATACCCGCTAAATGTCTTGGCTGGGCTATGGTGGAGCTTTCTTGAGCCCGTCCTCGTCCTACCTTACCAATGTCCTTTTCTTGGTGAAAAGCAACAAATGGTTCACTCGGAAGTAACATCTTGACTTGTGTAACTATTTACTTGTGGACCCAGCCCCTCGGCTCTTTTCCCAAGCTTCGGTCCCATCTGGGTTAATCGCCTTGAACTCGGTTCCACGCTCCCCCTCCCCCGATCTTCTTTGAGCTCGGCTCTCGGAATGTACAAACAACCGTCACGACAGGCTTGTGATCGCTGTCATGACCAGAAACTACGGTGTCACCGCGATGATGGAGGGAAATGCAGCCGCTGTAGGAGAGCGGGCGCAAATTGCTTGTTTAGTCCTTCGAACCGTGGGCGTCGGCCCACCCATCAGGATCGCCGCAACGGTTCCCATATATCTAAATGGACCAGTGACAGGCCGTTGGCCATGGGACTGGCGCCCCAGATGCCCTATTCACCGAACACGCATCTGCGGGATATCGACTTGCTGAACCGGTTGAGTATCCCTGGCGCCCTAGAACACACGGAGTTCAACCACTAACTAATACCGGGGTCTGCTGCGCAGGGAATATTCAGAGGGTGATCTTCAAGCAATCACCGTCGACAGAACCCCGATTGCAGGGGCTGAGATCCCCGAGCCGACGCTGTCGAACCTATGCATGGGCGTCGACCAGGACGTCCCCTTCCCGGAAAGCTTTATCCCGTCTCTAAGTCTTCCCGGGGCATCTTTGGGATCTGCAATATTCTCCCGTTTACCTACCCAGAATACGGCTCCTTGCACCTTGATCACTGACCACCAACTCCCTCTACTCGAATCGTTCCCCGGGCCAAGTGTGCCCAATTCTGGAAACAGAATCGGCCCCGACATCCCACCACTGTCGTCTCAACAATCGGAGCTATCGTTGGGACCCACGTCCCATCGCAAGATCGGTTCACAGACTCAGTTTCTACAGAAATTCATGGAAGGTCTTTTAGAGCTCGACATTGACTTGATTCGGCTCACGTTGGAGGAACCTCTGCTATATAACCCAGCCCCGATGACCCCTGAAACAGATAACTCCAACTCGCCTTCCTCATCAGAATGTTCGATCGACAGAATTTTCCTTCTCACGCAACGACTAATCAAGCTTTTGCGAGTAAAGGGAAATTGCCCAGTTGAGTCGCCCGCTGTGCAGAATACACATTGCCAATCGCCGCTTTCCGCATCCTCTACTTTTTCTTCGCGGTTCCAGCAGCTTATCGCCGAGCCTCAAAGCACGTCTGGAAATTCAGGAACGAAATCGCAGCAGCCGGGAACAAGGCTCGATCAACCATCCCTATTACATGCCTTGTCTACCTACATACGGCTGATCGAAGCTTATTATAATACCTTCTCGCAGACCGCTGAAAGGTTCGGTGCTGCGTTGGCCAAAGGGATGCCCATTCCACTCCCCTCGCTACAAATCGGGGTGTTTTTCGTGGATGACCCAGCAAGTCACATTGAGTTGGTGATTCAGTCAGCCTTGCGACTGCTAGATGGTCTGGGGGACTCGGTGAACAAACTTACGGCGCCTTTCGTATCCAGCGGGAACGCCGAAACCGACAACAGTCAGCCGTCTAGTCCATCCAGCGAAAACAACGCAATCAAAATGGTGATAAAGTCGGTCCGTGAACGCGAAAGCCGCTTGATGCAGGCTGCGGCACAATTGCAAAGCTGCTGCCAAGAAGGTCGACAGTCGCGTGAATGATGCTGGTGATGGCGAATACAATCGACTGTATATATATAGAGGCCAACGCCATCCCCAAGACAGTCGCGAGGCTCGTACTGTCATGCTTGATTTGCGCGTTTCGGTTTTGAGGCGGGCAATAGAGGGGCGCTCGGCACTTTCCTAACATGAACAATGAATCATATTAGACAGAATAGATAACCGCGAGCTCTTGCATTCCAACCTTGGAAGGTTTCATCGGCGCTATTTGTAATCATTTTGACTTCACCGTATCGGCGAACTGACACCGAGCACTGGGCACAGCTCGGCGGGCGCTGCAGGAACCGGCGATAGTCTTCCTGCCTACTAGGCCCACCCTCTGGTATGACCAGCTGGATAAGACGTAAACCTTAGAGGGGTATAAAAGGACATGATTGATTTGACTCCAGAATCTATCATTTCAAAGCCACAGCAACATTCGAAGCCCTCAGAACATCCTTGTCTGACCCACCATGGCCCCGCAACGCCTCCTGAAGCTGACACTCGCCCACAATCGGAACCCGGATGCCTCCGAGGAAGAATGCCACCGCTTCATCACAGAGGAGTATATCCCTAAAGCAGTGTCAATCCATCAACGCCACAAGTTACAGGGCTATAGCTACGTAAGTCATCATTCTACTGCAACAAACTCCCCCTACCCTCCGACAGCAGTCAATCCTAACATGGAAAAAGCACTTCTCCCCAACACCAGTGCGGAATGTATTGAGCACCGCATGTGAGCGTCTGCAAAACGGCTGGACAGTCGACACCCACTACGCCACCGTGGAGTTTTACTTCGGAGACATTGCGGACTTGGTGACCGTGTCCACCGACCCAGATTTCATTGCTTTGCAGGCAATCGAAGCGCCTTATATCAGTAAAGAGGGCGTTGTCGTCCAGCTTGGATGGGTCGAAACCTATATCGCGGATCAGCAGGTGGTGAACTTGGTCGATGGAAAGTCGCAGTATCAGAGCTATGAAGAGGCGTCTTCTGTTGAGCTTACGCTGTGAGTACGTTGATCTTTTTGAGATTCTTCAAATCTTGCTATTGCAGGTGTTACTATATGTTTCAATTCCGAAGGTATTTTGAGGTTTATTGCTCCTTGGGCCCCATTCCGTATCATACCAGACACAATGTCGGCATCAATGTATATGCCAAGCGGGAATAATATAGACGGCAAAGCATAGAGCCACACCCAAGAAACCGACACCGATGGAAGAGAATTTGTGCATGTGCACTTATCAGCAGCAGTAGCCATATTGATTTCAGATTCGTGCCTCCGTGCCGCTGAGATGCTGCTCTAAAAGCCCGACCTATGCTCTCATCCGATCGATTCTCTTAGCCGAAGCATCGGTGGCTCGGCCTCGTCTGGTTGAGGTGGTTCCCGTGGACTTAAGGAGACGTAGCATGGTCTGGGTACAGTCCCGCGGTGTGCGTCCGGCACGGAGGTCGTGCCAGGTGTACTTGGTGGTTTCAAGTTGCCGTAAGGACTCCGTCCGACTAGCGTTGAAGCGATGGGTGAGCCTCTTGAACTAGCCGTCCGACAATGGGAGCAACTGTCGTTAGTTCGACCGACGACACTGCTGCTGCTTGCAACAGGCTAAAGAGCAACGCGTGGGAACCTATCGTAGCCTCGGGGTTTGGTTATCTACTGGCCCTTGCCTACTTGCAAGTTTGGCCACATAGAATATGGGTTGTTTCATTGAAACATGGGCCGAGGGCCGGTAGACGTCATACCAGTGTGACACTGGTGAGTACTCCACGTGCCATGTACCTTTTGGAAGCTGAGTCTGTCTAAGGAAAATAGTTTCCTTATGGTTGCTTAGGAAGCCGAAGGCAGAACCAAGCTCCTGCATATACGGAAGGGGCTGAGCCAGTATACGGCGCAGCTTGTCGGGGTAGTTGTACGCACCCGCCAGTGAATGCGCCCAGACCCAGGGAACCTTTATTTCCCCACCAACCTTAGCTCTGGTTGACCTCGTATTGTGGTCAAGCCAATAACGTCTGGGACGTTGTTGTACATATACTAGCCCCGCGCACTTAAAGTCACCGAAACATATGTTTACACCCTGGGCCTCCAAGTACTTGGCCAATGGCCTGTTGGAAGCGGCCTGGAGGCCGTGTTCATCCCCGACATGGACAATTTCGGGATTTATTAGGTGCGGGCTGGGGCTATAAGGGGCCGTAGTGCTGCGGGTCAGGGCCTGGGCATTATAGGCCGCCTCAACTTGGCTGTTGAAGTTAAGCCACTTAGGGTGCCGACATACTATAGAGGATGGAGCGCTCAATGTTAGTCTTAATACTATGTCGTAGGGGGCTTTGGGTGGGTCAGGTTCACTTTGACGGCTATGGCGACACTTTCCCCCTTGAGATGCTTTCTCTATTGCAGCTTGAACAATATATCCACTCGTCGACTCCAAGGCTGAGGTGGTGATGTGACCTCTGGCGGGTCCAAGCCATAGATGGATGTCTCGCCGCAACTTTGCTGTTGTTCTCCAATAGGGTGACTTCCACGACCACCGTAGGCTGCCATGCAGTGCCAGTAGGGCTCTGCTTTGGGTCCATCCCATGTTTGGCTGTTTTGATTTTGATGCATGGGGAAGGCCATGGAGGGGGGAGCTCAGCCATAGGATGGATATTCACTTCGTCGTAGGTAAAGACCGCCCTGTCAAGCCCCATCGGCGGAAGTGCGCTATCAATAGCTTTACCAAAAGCCGTAGGCACTTGCTGATGCTCGTGAGCGAGAATCTTGATGATCATATTATTCGTCGCTGGGTTGAAAGTAGAAACGATGATCTGGACGAGTGTTAGGACAAGGCATTTTTGAAACCCCTCTGGTGCCATGAGATATGACCTACAGCCTAGCAGGAGGGAACGTACGAGGGATGGAACCCCCTAAACGTACCTGCTCAGACAGCATGTCCCCGTTACGAACGCAGCGAACACGACAACAATCCTTCCGACTGATCGGAAGAGCTCGTCGTGCCAATATGCGGCCATTGCCACAAGAAGAAAGAAAAAGACAAACGAAGCAATAGACATGGCTTTTGACTAAGAAAAGAAAGAAGAAAAAAAAGAAAGAGAAAGAAAGAAAATTCGAATGATATGAAGATAGGAAGAGAGAAGAAAGAGGAAAGAGAGAAAAGGCAACCCTTATAGACGAGCGTACCTAGCAGCTGCAGGATTTCTGGATAGTCCACATCCTGACTGCTCCGCAGCATTGGGACTATCAGCGGGGAATGGTTTGGTGGTCACTGAGGCTGCGCTCCAGTTCTAATCGCGGCAGCTACACTGTGGCCTTGATCAATGGATTCTTGGTGGCAAGTCACCCCCCCGTTATCCATGTCAGAGACAATGTATGCATCGTCACGCTGAGCTGTGATAAGATAAGGCGAGAGGGAGAAAGAAAGGAAAGAGAAGTGCAAGTGAGGAAAAGGAAGTAAGGAAATGAGGGACAAGTGAAGTCTTCTCACAGATGCTCCTTCCAGATATATCAACTACTTTTCCTGCATTTTATGTCTTCCTATGCGGATGAGATCAAAACGCTTGTAACCCATAAGGCATTGTGGTTTCCTTGACGTTGACATTGGTCAGAGTGACAAGACTATAGTGATGGGCTGAGGAAACAGCGACCACACCTGAATATCGAGGCATGCAACGTGTGGTTTCACTCGAGTTTCACTTATCAAATAGTGAATCACAAAATGCGAACACGAAACTTGGCTCGAATTGAAGCTCAAAGCCATCTTTCGTACGATTTAGAGACAGTGAGAACTCTTCGGTAACTAAGAGGAGAAGAGAATAAGAAATGTTTTTTTATCGCACATATTTGTATGCCACAAAAGAGGTCTCCAGGGCTGAATGTAGCTAGGGGGCCTAAACGACCAGCATTAGGCATCCCATCTCAAATAAAAAAAGAAAAAAAGGCAAGTGGCCCGGGGTATTGATGCGTTGCCCAATTAAACCGAATTCGGCATGATTCCTCTCTGGCCTTAGTATTGAGCAATTACTGTAAACTGCCTAAAACATAACATAAACTAGTTAGCGAGACACTAAAGTCCAAAGGGATTTTGTCGATATCTGAAGTAAGAGAGACCAATCGAGGAAAAGAAAAGGGAAAGAAATGGACAAGACATTCAAAAGAGTGTACTAACAATACTATATTGCTGTAGCCTCGAGAAGGTAGTCTCAAGCAAAACGTTCATGCACCCGCTGCAGGTCCGCGATAGTTCACTTCGTATGTTTTGAAAGGCGAGCCAAAGAAAAAAGGCACCTTTTCTCCAGGTCGACGTCTTAATTCTGCTTCCCGTTCTCGAACTCGTCGACCGTGTTCTCTATTTCGGCGTTTCCTCGCTTTCCGCTGCTTTCGCTCTTCTAACGCGATTGAAAATTTGCCAAATATATGCCCCAACCAGCCCATAATCATCCAGTTTGTACTCTCTTTTGGGCACTTCGACTGATTTCCAGTAGGTGGTAGATTATCAGCGGGATGGATTGTCAGCCGAGTGATGAATAGGTATATGTCATAAAGAGGGTGCCGGTGACAGTGATATCAAGGTGGAATATGCAGACTTTGGAAGAGAAAATAAGCAGATTCACTTCGAAGAGGAGAGGAAAAAGGCCTCACCGCTTGCTTACTCTTGGTTGTTTTGGCCCCAAATGCCAAAACCCACTAGTTCATGTTAGGAAAGCATTCGGATATATTTAGGTACGGGACGTACAGGTATGTACCTTACAGGAATAAATTACATCTTGTAAATTATGGAACCTTAGGAGTAGCTAAAGTCATGAACATGATCATCATCACTAACATAGTACAAAAAGCCCGCTAGGAAAGCCGCAAAGTGGCCAATTGATGACTACGTGACCCAACCCTTGACCAGCAATACCTAATTATCGGTCAATCATCGCCCAACTTCCCAAGCAACACAATACACTCTCCCATGGCAATTGATATATTGCTCCTTAGCACACGACGTTTAAAGCAAATAGCTTCACAGGACTTCTGAAGCTTTGCAATAAATTGAGCCTGCTAACCTCGTGTCGTACATTAATCACCGTGATAAGATTGATTTCCGTTGGAGGAAACCTTCATCATACATGAGGACCAGCGAGTCTTCAGTGTTTGTGGATATTAACATGCCCTCAACCATGAATACTGCCAGCTCTTTGTCTATCGACTCCCTTCTTCTCCTCTGAGTGGCGGCGCTCAATTCCATAATCCTGATCACCCTTCGCTCCAGGAAATATGGGTGGTCCACCAAGACTCGCTAAAACGGCCCTATTGTTGGCCGTCATATCATCCAGTACAGCTAGTTCATTCCCAGAAAACCATCTAGGAATGATAAAAACTCGAAATGGAATTAGAGCGATAATCAGCACGGGAAAGCCTGGGGATAGAGCTCTGTTAGTCACTTCTGTGAAAGCCACCTGGGCAACCGGGGGGAAGAGAATACCAATAGCAGCAATTGTCTCGGAGATGGCGACGCAGGCTGCAACCGCAATGAGCTGACAAAAAATCCATAGAAAGATCTTGCGGTTCCGCACTTTCAGAAGAGGTTCTCCACGTTGCACGAAACGGTCCTCCCGCATAAGGTAAATCCCTTTGTGCATGATGCCGCTAGAACCAACAGAGCCCCATCCAACGATGAAAAACACGCCTGCGAATACCGCAGCAGGCATGGTGTGGAGAACGATCAATAGTGGCCCCGTCATAGTACCAATAATAGCCAGCCCCATGACGAAATGCGATATGCGCTGTTCTACCACTGTAGTAGCCTTGACCACCGGACGGCGAATCTCGGCCCCTTCTCCTTCCTCAGTTGGCACAACGCAGAGGTCCGTTTCATAGACTGTCAATGAATCTGTGTGTACGGGTGCCTGGGACGGGTTATTAACAATTTAGGAGCAGAATTGAAGACTGAAGTGGGCTTTCATACTTGCGGAACCAAACCGTTAGGGAAAGGAATACCAATGATGCCCGAAGTAAAGGTAGTGCATCCGAGAAGAAAGAAGTCCCAATGGAATCCAGCAGGCTTCTTTATTGGGAATTGCCGTGCTTGTGCCGTCAAGCTACTCACGTTCTGGCTATAAGTTAGCATCATAGCTAGGAGTGAGAATTCCCGGATAGCGTCTCATACATGATCATAATAGAAAAGCAACATGACCAGAAATCCAAATGGCAGTGCCACAAAGATCCATTTAGCGTCCAGTTGCCAAAAGTGAATCAGCCAGCCTCGCGGCTGCGTCGGGTAGAAGGCTTTGCTGATAGGGACACGGGTTATATCCACCGCTTTGATAGGGCCGGGGATGTGCGAGAATCCCACCCAGAAAATGGTTCCGATCTATGAAAAGAAGAGAGAATACTGTAAGTGAACCTGGATGGCAGCTGGACGGATTTATACTCCACATACCACATATGCATAATCTGCCAGCAAACCCCGAAAAGCAGGCGTCCAGACGGTACTTGACCCAATGATCTCCAGGCTGTGGATCGTCAGGAAATAGAGTATTGCGATCATGCAACTGACGAAGCCACCGGCAGATCCTTTGCTAATGAACTCGCTGATCAATTCCTCCACACCCTTCCCTAGCCTCTAAGTTAGTAATTGTTCTTCTTGACTTGAGGATTGTGAGTTTGGCAAGCAAAACTGACTGATGTAAATGGTCCCGACATAAAAGCCGAATGTTTCACTCGAGAAATCCGTGGCGTAGCGCATGTAGTCACACATGTTGCACAAAGCAACAATCCAGTGGAATATGGCGCCCCAAATACCAACCCAACACATGAATTGGGGGTATATAGAGGGCTCATAGATTTTTATGATGTCGTATATGGTATAGTTGAACAAAGAGATCAACCCCGTAATGCCGACGATGGTAAGTGGCTGCACTGCAAGGATGCTGAATACCATCGCCGCCATGGCAGAGGAGAAGAGGGCTTCGTTGATGCCGTAGAACTCCCCAGTTCTCCGGTGCATATCCAGCGTGTAGGCTATGGCTGGTAGCATACTAGAGATGTATTAGCCTCGAATTTGGTCGCGGGCTGGGGTAAACTCACTTCACAAAGTACATGCGAATGATGCTAGCGACAGTTCTATAGGTCCATGCATCGCGAATATCACTCCAGTAATAAGGAAGACGTCTCCGGACATCATGATACATCCCCCTTCCAATTCGAAGCACACACACGCTCTTCCACCCTGTGAGGTTATCGTAAGTATAGGAAGCAGCTGACTTCACTCTTGCTAGAGGCGGGGAAGGCGGCTCAGGATGCTCGGTTGTTGTCATATTGGGTTTCTGTCCGGAGATGCTACGAAGGCGAAGGCGAAAATAAGAGAAGGACAGTGCCAGAAGAGGATGGGAATGGCTATATAATAATTTCACCACGAGTGTCTCCACCAACCCTGGAAACTCAGATATTGAAGCGAGCTTCCTCTGTTCTCGGTGTCGGACTCCACGAGCCTACCGGACATTCCTGACCCCTTTGATCCTGAAAATCCAGGATGTAGATAGATGTTTCTTTCTCATAGGCCAGCACCGCTCGCTACATAGTCCATCTAGACTCGCTGGCCAGTACAGCATAGTCTGTAGACTTCCCGCGCACACATTATATGTTCCCAATACTACTACATTAGAGACAATAAGAACCGAAAGGTCTCAAAGCCCCAACACGTCACGGTGAGGTCTTGCCAAGGATTTTTAAGGTTTCGGAATCGCTAAGTCAGCTCATTCTGCCCGGGCAGAATTTATGCGGGAGAACTATAACTGAACATGTGATCTCTTGTAGAAAGCAGCAACCACTCACGATGCATCCAATCGTACACCACCCCGTCGTGACAAAGTTGTCGGATTTATTTGGCAACACGTATTTCGCTAATCAGCTCGCCTCCACGCTGGCCTCTTTCAGCCTGCACGATCAAGGTGTTTGCCTACGTATTGACGCAGTAGTATGCGCTTCGGATAGCCTCAAGTCGAATATCTCGAATATCACCACAAACAGTGATAAGTCGCTGCCACTGGTATGAGAGGATTGAAAAACTACTTAGACCAAGGCCCGGCCCAGTTAACAAACTTATTACTTCCTAGGGATGGTTGAGCGTGGAAAACAATCGGAATTTGACTACAACGCCGAGCCAAGTTACCTCATTGAAGACCCCGGTATCGGTAAGTCTTCGGAGTTGCAATAAATCAGATACAATCAAACGCTAAGTGGAGATATTTGGAATAGTCAAAGTTCGATTTACAATCCATCCAGGGGCATCCAGTGAACTCCCAGTCCACGTCCAAGGATGGCTGTGACCATGTTAGACATAAGACCGTCAGTGGGCTACGACCGTCAAAGTCATCTGCCATAGCAGTGCCGACAGAAGACTCAGATAGCGATGCAGACACCGGGAGTCGTCTGCGGCCGTCCAACGTTAGAATCGAACCGTCAGTTCGACAATTCCACAGCGATACCCGCTTTCCTCAGCGCAAAAAGCCTACGAAGGACACAGCTACTCCCGCCTTGCAGCCCTCTTCTATAGACAAATTTATCGCGGGGATCTGGCGGCAGGTGCATTCTCCAGTCACACTGAGTGTCTCGTTTCCAGTACGTTCTCCATTCAATTGAAGCCGGTCAGATCTACCATCGCTAACTGAGCTCCAGGACCGTAGGCCAGAATTTAGTCTCGGGACTGGTGTCAGTCAAGCAGTACGTGCGAATTCTTTCCACCTGGGCAGTGGGTTCGTGATATCCTAATAGCGATACTTATAGGTATTTCGGGCAGTGAACGGACTGTGCAAGAAATACTCTGATCAGAGCCGCTCATCGCGGGCTCTGGAAATAGTAGTGCAAGCATACTGGGTGGAATGCTATGAAGCTCGAATTGCATCAATTCGTCTCGAGTGCCCACACTATACGAATGCGGAAGCTCGAATGGCAGCCCTGAAAGAAGCCTGCAGCACATTAACATGGCATGAAAAGGAGCTCAGAAACAGGATGTAAGTCCTTCTTTCGGTCCATACTTCCACCGCCCCTTATACTGCGCGTGAAAACTCATTGCTGGTTGATTCTAGGGCTGTTTGGCGTGGGTACAAAAAAATCAAAGATTCTGGCGGTTGGGCCAGCCTAATATTTGCTGGGTCCGGTATTTACCGCTTCTGCAAATATAGGATAGGCTTTGATAGCGGACTCATTCCTCGGCTGCGCCACATGGCTTCTAGCCTTGAAGTCGCCGCAGATACTCTTCACCCTGGTTGGCGAGACCTTCTTCGAGTTGTTAGCCAAAATGGGCCCTGTCGATACTCCGGTCACCCTCATGAATGGGTTGTAGTAGATACTGGGCCGGCATTGCCACTTGGAACCACCTACTCCCATCTGGTATTGCCGAACGGCTTCAACTACCAGTTCGTGGACGACTGCATGATCGATCAAAATGTGTTCGGTGGAGATGACCCTCGACGCGGCCTGGGGATTGACCCTAATATCTGTCAACTGTGCAAGGGGAAACAGACCGACGATGTGGTCTCCAACCACTGTTCTTGCTTTCCGGCACTGTTTGGTGGTGTTCGTTATCCTCCCCCTGTCCAGTTGTATAACACAGCCAGTGGAAAGAATAACGGGGTGATCGCCCGTTGTGTACGTTGCTGGCAGATACCCTTTCCTGTCCCTACAAACCCCCCTTAATACAGTTGTCACTAACTTCTGGAAGGAATTCGATCGAGGCACAGCTATTGCCGAGTTCGTCGGTCTCGTCACTCGAGGAATTGACGGTGTGGACGTAATGATGGGTGGAACCCCTGAACGACCATATCAGGTCTTCCAGGGCCAAATGGGCAATTTTACTCGCTTTATCAACCACTCGTGTCGGCCTAATACTCAGTTCCAGAAGTTCTATTGGCGCGGGATAGAACGCATACTAGTGGTGTCTCGCGGAGTGGCCGCAGGGAGTGAAATTACGGTTGATTATTCGGACTCCTACTGGAGGAAGCTCAGGAAGAACTGTTTATGTGGGGAGACAGGTTGTCGTTTTGCCAATCAGTTAAGAGACCTACGCGGTGGCTCGACCATCTCTGGCTAGCCTTTATACCGTGTACACAGGCAATCCTTTAACAAGAAGTGAACAGACCGCCCGCCATCTCATCCAATACATATATATGGTGTAACATCTCAAGCCATAACATAGTAGCTAACTAACAGGTATGAAACAAAGCTGGTTGTATGTAACCCCACGGTATTTTACCATACAAGATAAAACGAACCGGGCCATCTCGGGTCATCTGTCGACTATACCAGATATAGTTTGGCGTATCTTGGCATTAAGGTTAGAAATCGAAGAGTGTCCAGTGGACGTCTTAAGGTCCTCGAGCTAACTATTTCGGGTGACCCGCTCAGCCTTCCCATCTACAGCCTCAAGTGGCTGTACCTTTCAAGGCTGTCAAATCTGCGTCAAAATGCCGTAGACTGTCAATGATAGGTGAGCCTTACTTGTCAAAGGCACCAGGAGCTGTGATCACCGATCTGGACCCTCCCTGAAGCCAAGTGATTGATTGATGTATTTTGCCCAGAGTACTACTACTATGGCCCCCGGCCCCTTGGCCCCAAAGATCGTCACTTGAGCAAGGAACAGAATCTGCATACGTGATTAGTTTCTCATAAGTCAATAAGTATTGACATTCGTCGTAGATATATACACAGCTTGCCCTGTCGAGGCCTGGGTGTTTAAACTTCAGTATCGCGGATGAGTAGCATCGATCATGGCATCTTGCTATACTGACATCAAAGTGATATAAAGACCGCCAATTCCAAGATATCAATCTAATATGTTTAGTGTTGTTTTAGCGATCAGGCAATGCACTAATTAACACGGTTTCCGCTGTCGATTCTAGCGTCTATAAGATAGCGTCTACCACCTGCATATAGCTTTCCAATTACTTTATTTTTTCCCTTTCCATTTGCTCTTCTCCCATCAACCTAATAGTTATGAGAAGGACTCTGCCAGAAAGTTATTGAGGCCACAAAAAACCTGCCCTATCCAAGATTATCTGTCGCGAAGCAGATCGAAAGCCTGAAAAAGAAGGGTCAAAGATCAAGTATAGGGGAGGGAGTTCGAGTCAGTCCCAGAAAAACTCCATTGAATATCGAATCGGCAGGCGCTAACAAGCCATAAAGCACGTTCAGCAACCGACTGAGCGTGACTATACCACACAAAATACAAGACGGAACCCACAACCCCAGAGAACCCCGCGCACATGTCTCCCTCGGACAGGGCCGATTTTGATATTGAGAAATTGCCCGAGCAGCCCCATAAGCGAACGCTCGGAACCAACAAAGACTACAGGGATGAGTGGAAATACCGTTTCAAGGCACGCGTGGTGAAGTATTATGCCACAAATGCCTGTATAGGCATACTGATTGGCGGTATCATTGGTGTGGTGGTGGATCTGTGTCTTCGGTATGCAGGTAAATAGTCATGCTGGCAGGCATACATCACAGGTTTATTCGTTCAAGCTCAGTATAGATATAGTCCATGATCCATTGAACTATGTATGCAATGCGAGGAAATGCTCATGCAGCATTCAAATTCATAACTCAGACCATCATAACTATCGTAACCATGCAAGGAACAGACGCAAAAGAAAGGAAAGAACAGAACGGGTATACAATGCATGTCAAGCGTATCATATGCACATGTGAAATTCAAAAGCGAAAAGGGCCAAGGCATCTTTATCTAAGGACCTCCCTGACGAATTCAACATGCGAACCAGGAAACAGTCCCGTTCGGCCAGCATAGCATCCCCAGAACCAATCGTCGTTGATATTCTCCGCCTCGGTAATATGGGCACCGCGCGGGAACACAAGCTCGTCTTCGACTTCTTCTTCCGGGTACCAGGACCACAGAGCATGGACGATGAGCCCGACACCACCGTCAGGCGGGAATCGGCGGAAGGGCGGGATACCCTGAATCGGAGTCGCCGTACCACTAGAAGGGGGTGGATTTGAGGGGTCAGAAGCAGAGACAGTACTTCCGGTGGTACTAATTGTGGGGGAAGGTCCGGCGCGCAGACGGGATGCTTTCTTACGGCGTTCAGGGCCGTCCTTCCAGCTCCAGTCACCGGTTCCTAGCTCCGGGGATGCAACGGGGCCGCCGCTTGCTGGGGAGGAAGTTGGTGATTGTAGTTGTGATTGTGCTACGTGCTCATCTTTCAGAGCGCGGCCACCAACAAGGTCGCGGACAACGACACGGCGCTGGCCTTCTTCGCGGTCTTCGAAGCCGACTACTATCATGCGGTGGCCGGCGAGGCAGCGGCGCCAGCCGTTGTGTCCGTTCTCTTTGTTGATTTTGCCCGTTGCCACGAGTTTGAGGTAACAGTTTGTACAGACGTCGTAGTCACCGCCATTGCATTCCAGGCAATGATAGCGGGAATTTGAGGCTGGGATTGGGTATGTGCATATATCGCAGTTTGTTGAGAATGAGAGAATTTTGAAGCTTTCGATCTCAGATGACGTGGGGAGGGTATTTGATCCAGCCGGCGGCGGTGTGGTCGACGGTGCTGATGGAGGTGGACTATGGGTAATGCGCCGGATGGGCAACAGGGCGTGGGTGCAGCATCGTCCTCGGTTGACGCAGGAGTTACAAAACCCCCAGTCTCCCTCGTTGCACTGGCTACATTCCCAAAAACAATCGTTTGCCGACGATTGACACGTATCACAGAAGAGACCGCTTTGTATCCGGCGGACTGGGTTGTCGCTGGTCATTTTTCTTTCTCCGCTCATGTTCTGATAGGCAGTCTCGGAGGGCCGCTGGTATTTGAACCACAGTAAGACGTGACTTGGGTCGTTAATTTGTATAGGGCGTCGAGTGGACGACGATATGATTCGTTGAAAGTTCGTATGTGCGGATGGACCAAATCCGTTCCACCGAAGACAGCCACGTCCCGAGCGGTAACATCGTAGACACAGGTGGAAGTTTCCTTCCTTGCAGCTTGTGCATTTCTTATGTAGATTATATTGGATATTGTTCTTTCCGCAACGGTCACAGGAGATGGACGGCTCGGGGAATTGTACAGTGGGAGACGCAGGAACATTCGATCGCGACGAAGATGGTCTTGTTCGTCTTTCTGATCGGACTGGAACAAGAGGCGACGATAATGACGGAAGGGTGTGCTCTGTGGGAGTCGAACGGCGAGATGAATTTGAAGGCACTGAGCCAGAAGTTGGAGAGTTCGCGGCTGATTGGCTCGTAGCCTGTCTAGAAGAGCTTCGTTCTCGTCCTCCGGCCACCCACGCCCTAGAGATATTCTGTTCTGACTCTGTGGCGCGTCGCGGCCTGGCTGATGATGGTTCTGATCGTAAGCGCCCAGCTTGAGTGAGGTGGCGATCCGCAGTGATATCGCTCGAGGATCGGGCAGCAGGCCTTATAGCTTCATCTGACGCTGACGCCTGATTTGTTCGGACGGGCGAGGTCCTTCGGCGCCCACCCACTTGTTCCGAGTTGCGCCTTTGATGGCCTGCGGTGCTCGGCCGCGTGGGAGCCGAGTCGAACAGATGTGGTCTGGAAACTGGCGGTCGTCTAACATTGTGTTCTCGGGTAGCCGTCGTTGGTTCCGCAGTCCTCTGGGCGGACTCGGACCTCGTATGTGTTCGCGTAGCTACGTCAGCGTCTTGCCGCTGTTCTCGCCCATGTTCTTGTCGCTGACGAGACTGCGATCTTCGCATATGCCTCCGACGGTAAGCCTCCGCGATGCGTTCACTGAGTTCCTCTTCTTGCCTTGGCCCAAGATTATCAAGATTAATGTTGTCCAATAATCCATCTTCGAGAATTTGCCGCAATATCTCTGCCTCCATAGTCTCCGCATCAGAGGACAAACTCAGTAATGATCGCAGACTTGATTGGTGTTCGACCCGTCGCGTGTGGTCCGAATCATCGGGCCGTAATGTACGTTGGTGCCGCGTCGTATCGTCATCCCTCCGCCGCCTTGACCAGCCGTCCTCCGCAGGCCTCTCGGCATGGGTGCTCCTCTCGCGCGTCCGCGAAGATTGGCCCGTCCGCCGGGCCTCGCGCCTAGCTTGTGCGCGGCTTTCGCGTAGACTCAGCTCGCGTACCTCCTCTACAATGCGTCTATCGTCCTCGCCATCCTCTTCCGCGCTTTCCCCGCCCGAAGGAAGTGTTGGGAACACCGACTCGCCGTGTGTGTACCTAGTAGCAATTTCTGCCTTTTCATCCGTCGCTCTAGCACGATCTGGGTGCGCGCTCAGGACCATGTCCAGCAGGGTCGTGACGGTGGCATTTGGGCGGGTGTCGCGCACTTCAGTGCGACAGGATGGGCAGGTGAATCGGGGCGAGGCACGGGAGCGCGACCCTTGTGCGGAGAACCATTCTTTCACGCAGGATCCGCAGAACGTGTGGAGGCAGTCGAGGAGAGTGAGGGGCTGGTAGAGGAGCTCGGTACAGATCTGGGGCAAAGAGCGGTGTTAGAAACGTAAGGGGTGGAATGGGACGTGGAGTACGTACCGAGCATACCAGCTCTTTCTCAAGATCCGCCAATCCGGAACTTTGAACTTGAGACATGGGGTTTTGGCAAAATCCGGAAGGTAAACAGAAGAGGGTGAAGACCAAGGATCGGTAAATGTGGGAGGTTGGCTCCACCAATGGGTGATCTCCCGCTTACAGCTTCACCTTCACTTTCAACACTTCAACTTCAAACTTCAACTTCAACTTCGTCTCTTTCCGGCTTTGAATCTGGACTGCCTTGAGAGAACTTTGTCTTGTACCACTGTTATAGAGTGGTTCCCGACACCGGGTAGATTTATGCACATCCGATGAAATTTGAAAATGGTTGAACATAGCAGTGTGGGTAGATGGAAGATGGAAGATGGAAGGTGGTTGATTCCATCACCATATCTTCTTTGGAAGGTTGTGGGCCTCAGGCGGAAAATGGGCTCAGCTGAGGTTTCAGGAGAATACATATATCTAAACATGCCATGCAATTTCTTTGAAGGTTCCCAGTTTGAATTTCAAATTGGAATGATATGTAGCCTGGGTAGAATTGCCAGAGCGAAAGAATATCAGCAAACACA